GAGTTTTGCTTGGGGTACATAGGAGATAACATAGGGGTTGACATAATACTCACATGGGGTGGGGCCCGCTTTTAAAATGGGTCCCACCCCATGTGAGTATTATGTGTACCATTATGTAAAAAAATTATGTACAAGTAGCATTTTGAGAATGATGCATTGTTAATTTGAGAAATATATATTACTCTGTAGAAATAGAGATAGAATGGAGGCTCCGGAGGAAAAAGAAGCACAAACAGTAGTAAAAGCAACCACCCCACCAAACAGAAACACTGCACCAAAAGTAAAAGCAACCACCCCACCCCAACCCAACCCTATACATTATACATATTTGTATACGGAGTCGTAGTATTTAACATGGAAACACAAAAGTGAAAAGGTGAAATATACAGAATAATCTCTCTTCTTGAACTTGGCTAACGATAAAGTAAGAACGAGAGAGCCCTTTTTCAACAAGATTAATTCTTGGATTCATCTGGACTACTCTTCATCTTCTCATCAGGTATTTTAATCATGATCCGCAATGTAATTTCGTCCATTTTTGCACACCCATTTGAGCTATGAAACTTCCGGATATTCTTTCTTGAAAATTACTCCAACTTTTATTCTTGATAGAAACTAAATATATATTTTGTTTCGGTCCAGATTTGTGTAGAATTTACAACAGAATTGTATGTGGTGTGTTCATAATAATATGATTCACAGATGAAGGGGTAAAGTTGAGAGAAGAGGGCTGCATATAATGAAAGGGAATAAATGATTTTTGCTTTGATAAAAAGAAAATGAGATACATAATGTGGAAGCAACGGATATTTTGGTATGTTTGGTAGATAAGTAACATGCTTCCAAAAAGAGCCGTTTATTTCTATGTTCATTCAATCATCACGTGCACACCTCGTGTGTTTCTGTTGAGTGCTACCAGAAGAAATTGTTTCTTCAATCAGAAAAATGCTTTTAAGTTCACATTTATCCATGATGCGCCCAAAGATCCGAATAAATAAACATATTGAGAAGTGATGGCCAGTGTAAATTGAAAGTATCATTTTAATTTTGAGTCATAACTTAAAAGTAATTGCATTTAACCTGATGGGGAATCACAAATTCTCATTTTACGACGGCCTGCAGGGATTAATACCTCCTGTGCTTATTTCTTAACATTCAACATTGTGTTTGCATAGGTGAAGAGGAATTAGAAACTTGAATACCAATTGCTGTGTGCTCTATGAAATTTCCAAATTCAGAAGGAGCAATGGAGAGCACAACCAACAGCACCAAGATTAGATATTCCACGATCATAAACGGTTCCTGGTTTGATCAATTTCGCAATGGCTCGAATCCTTGGATGGCTAGATATGCCTACAGCTTGATGTTTCTCATTACAAATTTGCTTGCTTGGGCTGTTCGCGATTATGGACACAGTGCCTTAACAGAAATGAAGCGTAAGACTTCTTCATACCTATAAAATTTATATATGTTTCTCATTTACTGCTCGAGAAATTACGATTCATTATTAAGGGTCTATAGTCAGATAGTATTTACTTTTTATGTAAATTTTTCACCATATGCTGAGATGAGACTATATGATCGAGCTACAGAACATGCGGTGTTCTTAACATGTTGTGTGTGCAGGACTAAAAGAATGTGAAGGGGGAAAAGACTGCTTGGGTGCAGAAGGAGTTCTGAGAGTTAGCTTGGGATGTTTCGTATCCTTATAATGCCGCACAACCCTCTTTTTCCTGACAATGATAGGAAAAAGCTGGAGTTTTTCCCATAAAGTTATAAGAACTGATGAGATCCTCTTAATTTATATTTGCTTAGTTAAATTTCTGTTGAAACAATTAAATTAACATAGAAATCCAGTAGAGAACTCCCTTCAGGGAATAATGATAGGAAAGGTGTGTCCTCAATCTATTTCCTCAAACGGAAATAGTGGGGCGGGAAAGTTTTGCTTTCTATTAATCCCAGTCTAAATCTTAAACAAGATGCCAAATGAAGATATGAGTAACTACACTTTTTTTTTCCTTCTCAATAACAAGATTCACCAAACATTCCAATGACTAGGTAAATTGATGTAAGCCTTGACATTATACGTAGACTTTCTATTTTGCAATGTTTCTCTCTACGGCTGGCACTTCAAAGCTAGATGATAGTAGAGAATGTTGGCACTCTGGATGGTGGTCTGCCAAGATTGCGATTAAGGTCGCGCTGATCATATTATCCTTTCTTGTCCCTACGGAGTTCATTTCACTATATGGTTTGTTTACTTCTACTGACAACTTAATTTTACTTTTGTTGGAGCAAATTTGAATTGCAAATCATGAACCTAATGCATTATAATATGGCAGGGCAGCTTGCGCATTTTGGTGCTGGGTATGACTAATTCTTCTGATATCTATTCGTCCATAATCATGAATTGAGTTCTTTTTCTCTCTCTGTTTTGTTACTTAAAAGACTGTTACTGTACTGCGAGTTTCTTCAAAATTGAAAAGTTAGCTTCTTCTTCAGTTATCTGAATTTATCTCATCCTCTAAATATATTATATTTTTATAATCCTTTGGCAGGGTGTTTTTAGTAATTCAACTAATAAGCATCATCAGTTTCATTACATGGTTGAATGATTGTTGCCAGTCCGAGAAATATGCTGACAGATGGTACATGCCTCACTCAAAGAATTCATTAACAAATTTCCTCTGCTTATCAGTATCAACAGAGTACAATGAATGATTCTGTTTGACACATTAAATTATTATTAATCTGTGTTTTGTGGCTTTGAAGACAGTCCCACATATAATAGGAATTGAGCTTTTGATTTCCTATATATAATATGATTAGTTTGAATCCCACATTTAAGTGGAAACTAGAAGTCAAGCCCCCTTGGTATGTGATTCATCCCAGGCTTTAAGTTAGTCATTGACTATCTTGTGGTGAGGCTTTGGGATCCTCCAGAGCCTCACTAGTTGGATTATGGTTTGATTACTTTATACTCTTTTGTATAAATCCCTTACTATGTGTTTTATAGGGAGTTCAGGAATTAGTATGTGGTACTCTTTTGTTTTGTTGCCTATGGTTAGCAAAGTTCATTTTTCTACATGTGGAAGTAGGCCAAGTGCCGAACCATGTGAATGCCTAGTGTTCGCTCTCTATTGCTTCCTCAATCTCGGGACTTCAACACAACAATCAATTACCCTCGTGATTATACAAGGATGTCGAGTTTAGGTCATTCTTATATCATTTTGTTTCTTACTATTCGTAAATAATGGAGAGATTTTTGTGCAGCCATATTCATGTGATGCTACTTGCAACAGCAGCTTATGTTGTATGCATACTTGGGATAATTCTGATGTACATATGGTACACGCCGCAGCCTTCTTGCCTTCTCAACATTTTTTTCATCACTTGGACTCTTGTGCTTCTCCAACTTATGACCAGTGTCTCTCTTCACGCAAAAGTAAGTTCATTTTTGCACTTTATGTGTCAGTTCATTTTTTCACAACATATCTTAATCTAAAATAATTACATACTTCCGAAACAGGTAAATGCTGGCTTCGTGACTCCAGGATTTATGGGGCTTTATCTGGTGTTCCTCTGCTGGTCTGCCATCAGAAGGCATGCTATTCAATTTGTGACCTTTTAACGACTTCAATTATAGTAGCTTCTCAGTCTCAAACTCCCTACATTACACTGTAGAATCAAAAGTATTAGTAAGAGCTTGTTTGACAACAATTTTGGTAGAAAAAAAATGTTTTGAATAGCGATTTTTAAGGGAATGTGTGGTTAAAAAGTAGGGAAAAGTTTTGGTATATGTGTAGAATATTTTGTGTGAATGTGCGGTTGAAAATAGTCCTGTAGCAAACATAAAATAAATTAAAGAGCGTCAAAGAGACACTAATTGAGAATGGGGTTGGTGTGTAGAGCTAGAAATTAAGATAACGCCTGCATCTAAAATACAAAGTTTCAAGTACCTTGTATGATCATTGTAGGAAACTTTCGTACAGATATGGATACACTATGTCCCGTATTCATGTCATCCCATATCCAATGAAAGCACTGTATATGGTTTCGTTGAAGAGAGGTGTACGGATTATTCACATATCTTGTCGGATTCATGAGGATAGGAATAAGGCTTTTTACTAAAATGAACAATGTTAAAAAAAGGTAGTACGAAAACATTCTGGTACAGAGATATTTCCTTGCCAATTGGGTGGTGGGGGTGGATTTTTTGTTGTTCCTCATTTCCCTCTTTTCTCGAGTTTTTTATTTTCTTGTTCATGATTAAGCTGTTCTGACTTGATGTCTAACTTCTGTGTTTGCAGCGAACCACCCGAAGAGAAATGCATTCAAAGAGCAGGAACTGCAACAAAAAGAGATTGGCTAACCATCATAGTAATTCTTGGACATTAAAAATATGCCATTATTTGAAGTATTTGCTCTTTCTCTATAACTAAGGCAATTTTATTTGATTTTGTTAGAGTTTTGTTGTTGCTGTTCTTGCAATGGTGATTGCAACATTCTCAACCGGTATCGATTCTCAATGCTTTCAGGTTTTTACCTTTGCTACACTCATTTTGCTCTCACCTTGAGTACATTGTTTTCAAAATTTTCATTCGACAACAAATTGTGCAGTTCAGGAAGAAGGAGATACGAGAAGAAGATGATGTTCCTTATGGTTATGGATTCTTTCATTTCGTTTTTGCCACAGGAGCCATGTACTTTGCAATGCTCTTAATTGGTTGGAATACTCATCATACTATGAAAAAGTAAGTATTTTTGCAATGCCATTCTTATTTCACCTTAAGTACCAAAAGTCTCTCCAAAAAGAGTATTTTTCAAGTTTATGCAATACATCGACTCAACGCAGGTGGACAATTGATGTCGGTTGGACCAGTACTTGGGTGAAGATAGTGAATGAGTGGCTAGGAGCCTGCATTTACAGTAAGTAGTTTCAGCTTTTTTCCAATCTCAGCTTGTTTACATTATGGACGGACTTGTATGCTTTGTTTTGCCCTCACCTCACTTCCTACAATTGTTTTATAAACTAAGACTTCTGGTAATGCAGTATGGATGCTCGTGGCTCCAATCATTTTGAAAAACAGACAAGCAGAATCACCAACACCTTAACTGTTAAGCTCCAGGAAATTTTATTTTCTAGCATTTGCTCCATACAAATTCAGTGGCTTGCTCTTGCTCTGGCAAGGAAAACCTCCTATTGGATTTGGGACTCGAGATCGAACACGACTATCCAGCATTCTTTGTAGTGCTTATAATTTGGAGCAAAAAGGAGAAAAGAAAAACAGAAAGTCTTGATACATGTAAATGATATAGTCAAGGTGTCATTAGCAATGCATCCTTTTAATGATAGAAGCTTTTACTTTCTTAACATATTTAAATCGAATGATTTTGAGAATTATCTTACTCAGAGGGTTGATACACCTTTATTTGTATATTAGATAATGAAAGTAGAATAGGGATGAAAACGTAGCGGAACTATGAAGAGGAGACTGCTGTAAATATTGAAAAAAAATTTGGACGTATTACTTCGATTTCAAAAGTACAACAAAACGATAGAGAAACACCAAGCAAATTTAAGCCCTTGTTTGAGCTCTATTTTTTGAAAAAAAAAAAAAATACATTCTTGAATAGTGTTTCGACTCTATTTTAATCACATATTTTTCAATAAAATAATATTACACGTAAATTTAAAAAATTTCCTTATTTTTAATCACACATTTCCCATCAAATACTTTAATAAAAAATGCATTTTTTAAACAAAAATGGTGCTTAAGACTTGTAACCATCAACACTTTAGTCGAATATAATAAATTTACATCTTACCAACGCAAATAGTAACAGGAGTAACATTTTGCGAATTCAATTTGCAAATATCCCCTAAAAAATATCTGCTACAACATTGCCATAAGGATAAAGATTAAGATGCTATTATATATTGAACTTTCCAAGTCGAGAACAATTTAATCTCTATGAATAATGTTATCTAATACCAGTAGTGTTGAATATCAATCAATGTGTCAGCATATCATAAGTCCTATAAGAATTATGCTACTCAGCCACTTTGGATTTCCCGACTCCACCTTCTCCCTCACATGGAGGTCGGGTCCCACATCCAATAAATGCATGGGACCCAACCCCCATGTGAGGGAGGGGGTGGGCCCGAGTAACCCAATGTGTAATTCAAAGAGTACATGTAGTAGAAAGACCCTCCTATTAAATGGGTCGTAATTTCTTGTATTTAATTAAAGTTGTAATTTAATGCACACCTAAACTGGTATTTAATAGCTATCGAATTGTATTAGTATAGGGTTATTTAAGTCATTTTAAATTTTTCATTCAATTATGTTAATTAGAGCTTGTTTGGGAGGGATTAAAATCAGATTAAAATTGAAAATATAGCCGTTGGAGTTAACTTTTATTAGACGGGTGGGACCCAATAACGACTATATTTTCAATTTTAATTGGATTTTAATCATTCCCAAACAAGCTATTAGAAGTCTCTATGTATATTATATATGCTGGTTCTGTCATTCTTCAATTAATATGCTTGTTCTGACATTCTTCAATTCTCAATTCAGTTGAATATCAAATCATTTTTTTTCCGCCACTTTTCTTCTCTCATTCTAGAGTCTTCTTATTACATTTCATCATGGTATCAGAGAACTTAAGCTTCCCTGCAATGGCGAAAGATTCCAGTGTTCAGGAGGAGGTTCAAAGCCAATTCGATCATGTTAATTCCTTCATTGAGTCATCAGCTGAAGATGCGATTGCTGGAGTTTCTCTGGTTAATCGATTGATAAATTATCCGAGCAGTCCAATTACCTTCATTATGGTGACAACACAGGGATGCAACTCATTTCAGTCATGCTTGGAGGAGGTGCAATCATGTAGTTTCTTCTTGGATCATCAATTCAATTTCAAAATAACTTTATCCAAGTGTGATGCACAAGGATTCTGCAAGAGACTTCTAGATTGAGCTTCGGGATCGTTACAATCGAGGTAATGGTCTTCGTATCTATGAATTAAAGAAGCAGAATGCTTTGATTTCACAAGCCAACAGTTCAGTTAGTTCCTACTTCAATAGGCTCAAATGGCTTTGGAAAGAATTGGACAATTATAGACCTGGTGCTAACAATACTAGTTATAAATGTGAAGATCAGATTATGTAATTTCTCATGGGGCTAGACGAACACTTTGCTGGTGTCAGAAGTCGAATTTTGCAAATGGATCCTTTACCTTCATTGAATAAGGTATTTGCACTAATTTTACAAGACGAGAGGCAGAAAGGTTGTTGCCAAGAGACAACAGAACCTTGATGCAGCAGCTTTTGCCAGCAAGATGGTACAAAAATCCTTTAGTAATCAGAGGCCTAGTTCAATTAATCAGTCTCAGAAGAAGGAAAGGCCAATATGAAGTTATTGTGGCATGTTTGGGCATATTAAAGTCAAATGTTACAAATTGATAGGTTATCTTCCTGGCAACGAGTTTGGTAAAGGCAAACCTCCAGTTGCTAATGCTGTCGGACGAGCACATCATGGTGATAACTCAAAAAAACTGAACTCTTTGTCACATCTCACAATTACTCCAAGCAAATTTTGTCTATGTTGATGCTACAGTTGCAAGGCCAACTCTCAACCTGCAATCAATAGCCTCAAGATGTATCATCTTCTTCACCCTTAGTACCTGATTCTTTTGCATTCTCATGTAACCATATCCATTTCAGTGTTTCTCTAATAGCATATAAATGGATCATAGATACAGGGGCTTCAGAACATATGGTCTACTCCATTAAACATTTAACCATTGTAACTGTTGTTAGTGCATCTGTAAGGCTACCTAATGGTGATAGTGTTGCATTTACGCATGTTGGGACAATGAAGTTATCTGCCACATTGCTTTTGACAAATGTGCTTACTGTGCAGTGTTTTAAGTTCAACTTAATATCTTCCAGTAAATTAACACTTCAGCATAATTGCTACCTGATATTTTTGCATAATTCTTGTTTTATTCAGGATCTTTCAACATGGAAGATGATTGGGGTAGGCAAACTTGAGCATGGACTATATCATTTTCAACAATGTAATCTTCAACTCAATGCTCAGTCTTCGCACCAATATCATCAACTCAAAACACATTCTGATATCTCTCACATCAGGGACTCTGTTGTTTACTTCAATACTAATTTAGTCCCAGTTTCTCTTTGGAATGTAATAAATCCGATCATGCTTGTAATTCCATTAGCGACGCTGATGTCAAAACTGATATTGATGTTTGGCATTGTCGTTTGGGACATGTACCTATTTCCAAACTATCACTTTTACTTAAATCTGTTCCTAATATTACTGTCAACAAAGACCAGCATTGCACTATTTGTCCCACAGCCAAGCAACACAGGTTGCCTTTTCCAAGTAGTAACACAAAAGCTACACAAATGTTTGAACTTATTCACAATGATATCTGTAGACCACACTTTGTTCCTTCCTTAAATGGTTCTAAATATTTCCTAGCTATTGTTGATGACTATAGCCGAGTGACATGGACATATCTCATGCGAGACAAATCTCAAACCAAAACTCTCGTTCAATCATTTTATCATCCCATTCAAACTCATTTTCAATGCATTATAAAGACTCTCAAGTCTGAAAATGGTTTAGAATTGCACATGAATGATTTCTATCTCTCCAAAAGAATCCTACACCAGTTGAGCTGTGTTGAAACACCACAACAAAATGGTGTGGTTGAGAGGAAACATTAGCACATACTCAACATAGCTAGAGCCATTAAATTCCAAGCCAATTTGCCTCATCATTTTTGGGGAGATTGCATCTTAACTGCTACACACATTATAAGTAGAACACCTACCAAATTACTTGCTGATAAATCTCCTTATGAAATGCTTTGTCATACCACACCGTCCTATAGTCATCTTAAGGTATTTGGATGTCTTTGTTATGCCTCAACTCTGAAAAGACATCGAACAAAGTTTGACCTCAAGGCTATACCTTGTAGTTTCATTAGCTACCCTTATAGCAGGAAAGCATATAAGCTGTACAATCTTAAAACCAATACAGTTTTGTCTCTAGAGATGTTTCTTTCCATGAGAATATATTTCGTTTTCATCATCCCTCCTTCCTTGCTTCTTTTTCTAAGTCTAATATTGTTCCTCAACTTGATTCTGTTATTTTTCCAACACATTCTCATCACTGTACTGATTTTTTTCCAACATCAGAACCCAATTTTCATATTCTTTCATCTTCAAACACTTCAAATATATCAAGTCCTCACTATCCAACTTCATGTCCACCTGTAGTATCTTCCTCACCTGCAGTACTTCATCTCCGTCTCATAATCCAACTCCATCTCTACCTGCGACGTCTTCCTCACCTTATATTGTACCTACACGAAAATCCAGTAGACCAAAACGTGTTCCTTCCTATCTACAAGATTATCATTGTAGTTTGATGTCTCAATTGCCAGTTCCTCAATCAAATTCTGTGGTGAGGGGTTTTGAATTTGGCAAGCAAATATACTATTAAGGATTACTTGGGTTATGGTTTGTTATCTCTTGCTGAAAGAAGTTACACATTGGCTTTATCTACTATTTATTAGCCACGTTCGTTTACTGAGGCATCTAAGCATCCCGAGTTGGTTAAAGCTATGGATTCTCAATATCAGACACTTGTTTCCAACAATACTTGGCAAGTTAGTGTGTTGCCTGAACACAAGACTCCAGTGGCTTGTAAATGGTTCTTCAAGGTAAAGTTCAATAAATATAGAACAGAGGAAATGAAGAAGGCTCGTCTTGTAGCCAGATGTTTCACTCAACAAGCTGGCTTGAATTATGAAGAAACGTTTTCCCCTCTTGGAAAATTGGTTACAATAAAAACACTTTTAGCAGTTGCAACTCAAAAACAGTAGCATCTTCATCAATTAGATATCAATAATGCTTTCCTCCATTGTGAGTTAGATGAGGAAGTGTATATGTATGCCTCCAGGTTATGAGCAGTAGGGAGAGCATGGTGAAGCTGGTTTGCAAATTAAACAAGTCTATTTATGGACTCAAGCAAATTTCGAGGCAATGGAACATGAAGCTAACTTCATACATTCTT